TGAATTTTTTTCCAGAGAAATTAATTGCAAATAAATGAAATTAAGTATTCTAACCAATTCATTTACAGCCTTTCCCTTAGATTGCTGAAGCAGTGCACAAAAATACTTTGATTGCTTTATTTTGTCAATATCAATACCTCCTTTCCTGCCAAAAACACAACCGGGAGCTTTGCCTGCCTGTTCAAATGCTCGGCTGAAAGTATGCGTAAAGCACTTTATCAACATCAAAGATCAAGATTTAAATGCATAACACCATTATTAAAACCCAAACAAAATCCTAATAATTAACAAAATCAAGCTTTAATCACAAGTTTGATTTGGAATTATCTAAGAAGATAAGCATAATTTCAATTTACTCAATTGGACCAAGAAAAAAAAAAGGTTTGAAATCCTAAAATTTAATTCATGATATACATATACCGATCAGATTCTTGAACGAGGGCACGCCGAGCTGAGTCGAGCTTAGACACAGCGTCGCGACGTATGGGACGAGTGAAGGCCTCAGCGACTTCAGAATGAGAGCGAGAATCGAGGAAACCGAGGAGTCGAAGGGAGAGGACCTGAGCCGCAGCGAAATCCCGCTTCTCGAGGCAGAGCTCGGCGCCGAAGAGCAGCGAGTGTAGCCGCTTCAGGTTCTGATCCACTTCTTTTCTCCAACACTTTTTTTTCTCTTTCGAGTTCGATTCTTCCATTTCTTTAATTTTTCTTTGGCTATTTGTTTCCTGGTTTATGGTTGCAACGAAGAAGAAGATACTCAATTTTGGGCTCTGGTTTTTAACTTTTCCCGCCAGTTTCTGGCTTTGGATCGCTTTAAATTGAGCGGATAAGAAAATGATACTATTGTTGGGCTAAATTACGTTGTAGCCACTCTCCCATGGCTCAACAATTTTTTCCTTTTCTTTTAAATAAGTTAAAAAAAGAATTAATTAAAATAAAAAGTGAATAAAATAAAAAAAATACACATAATGTTCAAAAAGGCTCTTGAATATTAAAAAATATTCAAATAAATTCTTATTTTTTTGTTACTTTTAATAAAATCTTATATTTTTATTTTCAATCAAATACGTATTTAAAATTAATAATTTACTTAATTAAAATATCATGTAACATTAACATATAATTAATATAAGAAATAAAAAATATCATATGATCATAAATCATGACATGTTAATATATCATGTCACCATTCATTTTAACATGTCAACATATCACATCAACATAAAATAACAAAAGAGTTTTTAAATAGATAATTCATTAATTATAAAAATTTATTTAACTTAAAATAAAAATATAAAAATTTATTTGATTCAAAAATCAAAATAAAAATATTTAAACAATCACAATAAAAGAAAAAAAACTTTTATAAATAATTTAAAGACTTTTAGGTATTATGTTCAAAATATATATTTTTTCTTAAAATTTTATGAATTATTGGAAATTAAATTAAAATATTTAAAAAGTTATTAACATTTATTTTTTTAAAAAAACTGATTTATAATTTCATCTAAAATCTGAAATAAACTTCTCGCATAAATTAAAAATTAAAAATTTATAAATTTTGAAAGCCAAAAATACCTTTGCTTTTACTTTTTCCATAAGCAAAGCAATCAAATGGAATAGAAATGAGCAAGCATTCTAAAATAAATATTACTGCATATCTAATTAGAAAATCTACATTCAAGGATACCATTTGCATTTCCATGATATAAACAAGAAAGGAACACTAAAGTCAAACCATGAAAGATGCCAGGCCCAGGAGTCCACCATTTATAAATTACAAATTGAACAAAACAAAAACTATCTGGCTAATTTCTATTTTTTTTTTTGTTATTAAGTTTGATCATAATTATGTCTAAACATGCTACTTCCTGTTTCTACATCCCTCTGAATCACCATCCAACAACATTACAATTCTACCTCCATTAAAGGAATGGTCTACAGTTGCTACATGATTCAAATCATTAACAAAACATTGCAGGCCATCCATCATTCATGTGCTTCCTGGGGCATCACTTCCTGCTGCTGGCTTGCGATTCAGATAGCGGATAACAGCATCTTCAACCCTGTTAGAATCCCCAAAACAGACCTCGATTATGTCCCATCCTTCATAAATTCCATTATCACCTTATATCTATCATTAGGTTTTCCATACTAAACTTATAAAGTAAACCAAGTGAATATATCCAAGCATGTGTCAAATCTATGAAAAAGTGCACTCCTTAGATCTCAAATACTGAAAAAGTCCACATGTCAATCAAAAGATTTCGAGATTAAATCTCAAAGTTTAAATAAGATGTGGTTATGAATTAATATATGATGAACTGCTGTTTCGCATACTATGGCAAAAGAACTAAAAGGCTCTTGAGTAATAGTATTACTCAGAGATTAGAGGGAAGGTGTGATGAAAAGTTTTGACAAGGCACAACTAGCAATAAGGTTGAAGGGTCAATCGATGCCTGAGGTTTCAACCAAATTAATCAGAATTCAAAATATTATCAATAGCAATGACTGCGTGTCTAAAGTGATTGGCTAGGGTTCCAACTTGAGGTAAATGATCCAAAATTCAACAAGAGTAACTGCAACTAAAACAGAAAAAATAAGCTTACCATGGTTGGTTGAAGAAATCTGAACGCCGCTCCCTTTCAACACTTCGACTAGCTTCTCCAGCTACCAATTTCAGATCCCGGCTCTGAGACTCAATTAAAGCATTAATAAATTCACCTGGTGATTGACTGAACCCTAGAAAAAATGCACGCCTTCTACGGTGCTCATGAATTTTTCTAATGGCAGCACATATTGCTTCATCGCAAGCATCAATCTCTTTGCTCTTCTCTGCATTTGCCAACAGAGCAGACAATTCCCTCTGTATAGGAAAGGGCACATCAACTAACACATCATAGCATGCAGTTCCAACAGGACCATTCCCAGAAAGTTTGATCTTATGCTCCAAATGTATGGGTGGTGGTGAAGACAAATGCTGTGATATCTTTTGCGATACCATGGTGAATTTCACTCTGTCCTCCCCAAAAACCTTCTGAAGTTGTGCATCACAATTAAAGAAAGATGGATCATTTGGGTTCTGAAGTTTTCTAGCCTTTACATAATGCCAAATTGCAGCAATTATTCTGGGTCGCGTATCAACCTCAATACCAAGGACTTCCATCAAAGCTGAAGAAAGCTTGAACTTCTCAGGTACATAATTCATTTCCAATCGTATATTCACAGTGAATTCCTTATCCCCTTTTCTCTTCACCTCAAAACCTTCATGAGGTGCAGGTGATCGGGCATGCTCCCATATAATGATATGATTCTCCGGATATAGTCTCTGGTCCAAGGAAATTGTCACTTTCTTGAAGAAAGATGAAAACTTTGGGTACAAGGGATTTGTTTTTTGAACAAACCCAGGCTGATCTGGATCTACCCCATCTTCCAAGATTCTCCCAATAATCTTAAGGGTCCACATAGGGGGCTCTGCATTAGGCTTCTTTGGAATTGTCTTAATCTGATTAGCAAATGTGTTGAAAACATATATTCGAAGAGTTTTCTGAACACAAGGTGGGTTCTTAAGCGCTTCCTGGATGTCAACTTTTTTCCGAGCTAATGCAGCATCAACACGAGCCTCAAACTCAAGAAGCTGGGTGTACAAAGCAGATTCAGGAAGAATCGCTGCCACTCTATCCTGTAGCTGTTTCTCAGGAAGCTTCTGCTTCTTTCTACGTGCAGCAGGTGTAAGTTCCATTGTTCTCAAAGGGGACATTGTGTTTGTCATAGGAACACCAGGAGGACGCACAGGGGGCTTTTGAAGGATCCTCTTTGCACTGCCAGGAGTAGACATGGACGGCGAAGACGAACCTAAATTCCCAATGCCCGCATTCTGAGACTGGTTAAGGGACAACCCTTGAGCTTGTAGGTGTGCTTGGAATTGGGCATGAGCTACCTGTGCTTGAGCTTGAGCATGAGCATGTGCTTTTGACTGAGCCTGAGCCTGGGCAAGGGCCTGAGCTTGCGATAGCTGAAACTGAGCTTGAAAACCAGCACTAAGTTGTGCCTGTGCTTGTGAGAATGCAGGGTTTCCAGCCATAGATGGAGCTACCATCCCCGCATTACCAAAGGGCGACGAAGACGCCCCCAGGCTCTTGGGGGGATTATTGTTGTTCACAGACATCACTAATCTAATTCACCGGAAAAATATAAACACCCACCAAAATCTAAAACATTCAGAACAAACTAAATTCAAAACTATATAAGCAAATACCCACTAACCAAAAACCCCCAAAGAAGCAAAATTTCCCTTCAAAATCAAACCTTTAGAAGTTGAACCCTAAAGGGTACCCTAAACCCCAAAAGCCCTAATTTTGCCAAAACACCAAAGACACTGAATTGGAACCAAAATCTTGCCAAAACAAAAGGGGTCTGAATATGCAACAATGGGGAAATGAAGGGCAAATGAAGATGGAATATGCAAGAACCGAAGAATTTGAATTATAACATTAGATTAAGGGGAGATACTTGAAACTAAACGAGAGAACTAAGAGTGGAGAAAACGTAAATTCAACAGAAAACGAAGAGAAATAAGCTTACGAAAGAGTGAAAGAGATTTTAAGCCTTTTTGCCTTTTGCTGTTTTGCCTTCTCTCCCCTACCAAAAGAAAGACCAGCAGCTACAGAGAAAGAAAGAAAGACTTCGCTGCCTTTGTTTGCTTCTCTCTCTCTGATTGCCTTTTTCTTTTTCCTTTTTTTGGCTTTCTTTCTCTCCTTTGTTTTCTAGTTACCAAACACTATCAAAGCCCGGATCAGATCCAATCTTTTTGACAATCCAGCCCATGAAGTTTCTTTTTTTACTAATCTAGCCCATGAAATTTTTCTTTTTGTAAATCAAGCCCATGAAACTTATTTGCAGCCATAGAATTAAATATTTTTGTGCTTCTATATATTTTCAGTATTTGGGAGAATAAATATAAATATCCATATTTTGAATACTATCCCTATGTTCATGGAAATTTATAGATATTTAAACATCTATGAATATCCGTTATAAAAATTACAAATTATGAAATATATTAAGGATATATACGATAATATTATAGATATTTTGACTCCTTGGTTGATGCATGATCTCCCTATTTAAAAAATAAAATTCGAATCCTTGTTTTTCTAATTTAAAAAAAAACATGAGATAAAAAAATAATTATAATACTTTTAAATCTTGGAGGATTCAATTTAATATTTTTGTAATTAATCACGTCAATTTGTTATAATTTGATGACTTTACAAATTATTTAAATATTTGTCCAATTTTATTTTATGCATACTACAAGATGTTAATATTTATTTATCTATATCTTGGAGTTTCCACACAGCATAAATTCATAAATAAATTATGTGTACCATTTTGTTGTTCTATTAATTCTTATAAGACAAGATAAGAAGATACTAACATATGTATGAACATATACTAAAATTTGATTCCAAATTTCTAATATTGGCTATAGATTTCAGTCAATTTTTCATTTTTTACCTATATTTATTCATATTCTTATAATTAGTCCTCAGGTAAAGCTCATCTATATCTCCTCTTTATCAGATTGGAGTGCATAAAATGAGATCATTGGGAATTTGTAACTCCCTTATCCCCCTGTTGCCAAGAGAATCGAAAACCATAAATGGAACCATGTTGAAGGACAGAGCCATGGTATTAACTATGCTTAACTTGTTTCTCTGGCTTGCCAAGATCAAGAAATAAGGTACAAGAGAAATAGAAAAAAGCACCAGGGTTCTCCAGCTTTACCCAATTATCTTTAGGAAATTTCGGAGGTTTCCTACAATTCCCTACTTCCACAATCCGATTTTTATTTAGAAAGAAGCCTATGAAAGCTTGTTGAGTGCAGATTCAAGCTACCATGACAGTACAGTTGAGAAGAAAGAAGTTAAGCCGGTCTCTGCAGCCCTCAATGCACCTCCATTGCAATTCCTCAGTGTCAGGCTGCGGGCTGCAAGTGTAGATGGTCATGGCCTGACTTGATCCGGAAGACGAGAATCCAATCACTAGCAGCTCATTGCCAAGAGACTTGAATGCCACACCCCAACCCCTATGAAGATCTGCTCTGACAGGTACCGGTCCCAACTTCTTCCATGTGTTGCTGCTCTTGAGGTAGACCCTGAGCTCATTGGAAGATGTTTCAAGACCGTAAAGCTCATTGTTCACCACGGCAACAAGGGGTGGGGATAGGCCAGTTGCAATTGTGGTATCTTTCAACATGTCTGGGATCAACTCCCATGCATTTTTATCCTTATCGTAAGCCTCTCCGCAAGTGAGTTCGTTGTTTTGCCCATCTCTCCCTCCAATGACATAAAATCTGTTATCCATGAAGCAACCGGAGCAAAGATTTCTCTTCTGATGCATCCTTGGGAGCAGCTCCCATAATTTGGTCTCCGGATTATATTTCTCAGCTGAATTCAAGGTTTTGGTGTTCTTCCCAATCCCACCAGCTACAAAAGCAAAGGTACCGCAGGTGGCAGATGCAAACAAACATCTAGGATCAATCATGGAAGGACCCTTAAACCACTTACTTGTTTCCAGCTCAAACCTCCACACAACAGGACCTTCAGTCTCCCTGCCTGACACAATCAATTGGCTCCCAGCACAAAGTGATTCCCTGTCTCCACTTATAAGGCACCCATCTGATGATGGTAACTCTGGGAGCTTTCTGCAAGACTTGAATAGCCTATCAAATGCCCACCAACATTTTCCCCCACTAGGTGCCATAAATATGGATGATTCTTTAAACCCAATTTCCCTCCTGATTTTGAATAACTCACCACTCCTCAGAAGATGTAAGAAATTCTTGTTTAGTAAGTAGAGTTTCCAATACTCCGATATAGGAAATCGAGCCAAGATCAAGACCTCTAGCTCATCACTGAGCTGGGGAACATATAAGTAATCTGCATCCTGAGGTTCTATGCCTGAGGAATCACCGAAGCTGCTCCTGCTTGGTGAAAATCCATTATGGTTCGGATGTGCTTCTATCATAGCTTTACAGATCTGTATCTTTTGCCGTGGGGACATGTGCAAGCTATCCATGAGATCATCACCAAAATCCTCAGCCATGTTGTTCAGAAGAAAACAGGTAAGGATCACATAAAAACGCCCTATAGAAACAGATTAGATATATTAATTGTGGCCCTAAATTAACAGCGACAAATAATTTTAAGACCTTGAAAACAATTATTTCAGAAGCTGATCAAAAGTTTAGTTTATGCATGAAGAACCTGACATAATCACCTGAATCCAGATGATATATGACCGCCAGCTGACCATTTCGTAATCATTAATTGAAAGGTCAAAGACAAATGTGTAAATTTACAGGAATTTAAAATCTAGGAAGTATCTTCCCCTCCTTGAGCTGATAATCTTGTATTCTTTGTAAAGAAAGAAAAGGGAAAAATCCTTGGGATGAAGTATTTCACATCATGAGTTCATCAACATTCAAAAGACAGCAAGAATCCACATGCAGAGCTTGCAATGCAAAAGTTTTAATCTTTGAGCAGAATCCTAGATAGAAATTCAAATTGAATCAGGCAAAACAGACCAGGAAGAAAGATCTATAACATGAGTTGATGAAGATTGAAAAAAGTTATGCAGACAAGCATCCATTCATGAAGAAACATATAAAAAGAAAACAGCCAAAGGGGTATCCAGAAATGATCAAAACATAGCTATAACACAACAAACACACAAAGATAAATGAACAGAAACACAAAAGCATACATACAGAGAGAGAGGCAGAGAAGTAGAGAGTGAAAAAGGAGATGCTTACCAGAGAGGTTGAAGTCAATAAAAAGGGAGAACAAAAAGGAAAGTTTACAGCCTGTAGAGCTTAAACAGTAACACAAACTCTAACATCTGAAGTAAAGGAAGAGAGAGAAGAGATGATATATAGGGAAAAAAAAAAAGAAGAAATGGGTACCAGAGAAATGAAATGAATTTACAATTGCAGGAACCCCCATTTGCTGGAGATTTTTATTCTTTGTTTAGTATGCCTCATCTGTTGGGATTACAATATGATGCATTTGGTTTTATTATTTATTATTGTGATCATCAAAGAACATCATTTTTATATTTGAATCAGAAAAAGTAGAAAGCTTTAGAAAGAGAGAAAAATTGTTTTTTTAGTTCTTGGCCTTCTTTGAAGGATATCAGGGGCATAGGAAAGAAGCTTTCTTTTATATTCATTAATGAATTCTGCAAACATATTTTTAATTGCTTAACATCCCTAGTCTAGCTGTTGTTCATGGACTTTTTTTTCCCCTGCTTTCTGTTATTGTTGAAGAAAATGGCTTTACATCTCAAAAGACAATTTTTCACCACTAACTCAATGCCAATACAGTACAATTTGAGTTAAAAATTAAAAAAAGCAGTACTAAATGGGAAATAATTATACCTTTTTTTGTTCCATTTCATATCTTAAATCTTTGAGGAACAAAACTAGTAGTTTGAAATATTCAAAAATAGTGGGTTTGAAATCTTCAGAACAGACTGTGAATAAGAATTGCTCTTCAAAGCTTTGAAGTATTGCTGTCAATAGGCTTTGGGGGGGGTGGGGGCTAAAGAAAGCTAAATCAATGAAAAAACAAGTAGAAAAGTTTAATTGAAAAGAAGTTTGAAAGCCCATAGGCTATCATATGATAGAGCACTACAAAGCTTACTATAATAAATCACACCATGATGTTTTTAATTTATTTCTGTTCCTGGTCTCTAAAATCAATAGCTGATGTGCTGTCCATGCTGAGCATTTCTTATTTCTTGGTTGCTCATTTTCAGAGATGAAAAGATGGCAAGAAAAGTGGGCAGTTAGTCTTGATCAAAGAGCAACAAGCAAAAACAAATGAGATGTCCAATAACCAATCCAAGAATAATAATGTTTATTGTTAAATGCTTGGCCATGGCATTCACATCTGTCCTGTTCAGATTGTTCTGATCAAGAATCATACCGAAGTTATTTTACCAGTCTAAGCCTATAAGATTAGTTTAGTCAGAACCAATGGAAGAAAGATGCCACGCCCTCAGCCTAGAAAATGGAACCCCATTGGATAAGGTCTTCCTTTTTAAGCCTTCTTTCTTTTTCATTTCCCCCTGATTAATTGTTTAATCAATGTTTATGCGCTGGCTGTCCACTGATTAGTTTGGTGGATTTGCCTTTGATTTAATAAAATCCAAGATTCACTGTCATGTTCGCGTAGGCTTAGCATTTGTGTATGATAGGTGTCTTCATGTAGCAATAGAAATTGTATCACCCACTTGGACGGCTCCATGGATATTATTTTTTTTATAATTTTACGTTACGTATTTAATTTTAAATTATTAATTAAAAGTTTTAATTTTTAATATGAAAAATTTATTAAATACGGAAAATAAAATTATATAAAGAAAATTAAGTGAAATGTCGTACAAAGGTAGAATTTAGGAATAGAAATTGTCTTCCTCACTTAGTGCCCCGTTTAGTATTTTTTTTTATAATTATATGTTACATGTTGAGTCTTATATTATTAATAAAAATTTTAACATTTAAATCTTAAATTTTAATATAAAATTTTTAAAAACACATGATTTAAAATTAAAAAAAAAACATTCGATAGGAATTAAGGATTTCTCTTCTCATTTAGGACATTAATCTTTTTATGAGAAAAAAAAAAAGAGAGGTAATATTGCAAAAGGATTGGGTAAAGGACAAAGGTCTAATCAGCTTTCAGCCGACAGACATGGCAAAGAGCATGCTAATGAACCTTGATATTAACATAAGCAAAAGATCTCCACTGACCCTTATGATAATTGGGTGACAAATTTTTAGCACCACAAGGTTCATGGAGGAGAAAAAGAAAGATTTTGATTAAATTTAAGAAACCCATTTAAAAGGATTCATTGTTGATTTGATATAAACCTAAACCTAAACCAACCACTGTGTCTTATTGTTTTTTTTTTTGGATGATCTCATGTGTTGTGGGATGCTTTCCAAAGCTTGGAAATAAGAGAAAAAAATATTGGCATGCTTTGTTTTTTTCCAGGGTTTTTAGAAACCGAGGGAATTTGTACCTTTTCATAGTTAATGGACCTCACACATATTTGAGTGCAGATTGGAACACCCATTTTTGTGATGCCACATCATTTTGATTTGCTTTTAGGAGATCACTTCATGTTTATGCATAAACAGATCTCTCCCTTCAGCCAATTACTAGGCTGGTGGGAAAACTGAAAACAGAAAGGAATATATATATATATATAAGCCATCAAAATCAGCATGGAAAACTGGGTGTGATTGGGATGACACTTGTCATTTTCATATCTGCAGTATATAGTACTTCATTCCTCGACATAATCAACTTCTCCTTTTGTTAATTACAAACTTTTTAGCTGGGCCAATCTTCAATAAGGTAAAACCTGTTCTAAACATTGTAACTTATCAGGATTAAAGGATATAATGAGCTGAATCTGCAGGTTTTATATGGAACAGAATTTTTGGTCTGTTTCTTTTTGTTTAGAAAAAAGAAGCAGACAAAAACCTGTTGCAGCAAACAACAAGGCTGCTAAAAAGCAGAAAACAAAGCAACAACAACAGCAAAATCGAAACAAGAAAATCAGTTAAAGATGTTCCTGATGTTTGCCCCTTCTTTTTGTAGAATTATAGCCTTGGGTCACCGAAATGAATTAGAATCTTACTTACAAAAAGAGGGTTGCTGCTTAATCTTGCATCTAGTACAGTGATCTTGTACTCTCTCCTTTAACTTTCATTTCCCTTTTCACTTTTGAGAAAACTACTTTAAATATAAATGTTTTCCCTTTTTTTTTTTTTCAGTTTTTTGATCAACTTTCTTTCTTCATGAGACATTTGTGCAAAGCCTGCTTGATGAGGTGAAAACGTGTTCATCTCAAAAGAAAACAAGACTTGCCGAAATGATTATCTATGGTCTGGAAATTTGGGCAATGGCTACCTGAAAGATATGGGCACTCAAACCTCTACTTAGAAAAAGACTAGAGAAAAGGTCTATTTAAAGGCAAAAGAGCAACCAATGGCGTAGCAGTGGCGGTGCATGCGGCACACCCAGAGCTCTGCAGTGGCCACTGTCCACGTCAAAGTACACATATCTGCAATTCCAACTGTCAACTGTTACAAAAGAAAAGTAGTAAGATACGCCAAATATATGTTTTGAACAGTTGCCTGCACTATTTCTAAGCACTTGCCAATTGTTGCTATGGTAAGCCAAGGGCATCTTAACAAGTACCACAGAGGCATCTCACCCAAAAAGGAAACAAAAATCTTCCCATTTCATTTAGTGTCTCTCTTGACATATATATATTTTGTATATAATTTTACGATATGTATTTAGTAAATTCTTATATTAATATCACTTTTACAGTTAATTTATTTGTTCTTACTGTTAGGGTTTATGGTTCAGAATTTATAGCATAAAATTGAAAATGTGACACAAAATTATAAAAGAAGTATCAAATGGAGCATCAAGTGAAGATAGAGAATTTTTATTCTCAAAAGAGTTGGGGGAGGGAATGCTTGAGAGAGGAGATCAAACTCAAAGCAAAGAATGTAAAACATATATCTAAAACATGGGATGTGTATATGTATAAATATGTTAGCATCGTTTTTAACTTGCTTTCCATTAGAAAATACTATAAATAAATTTAAAATTAAAAAAAAAACAATAAGGGAAGAAAGAAAATGATAGTAATAAATTGGGTTATTCTCTCATTTTATATTTGCAAAGGACCATAACCATTAAGCACTACCAACTACTAACAAAAGATTATCAACTACAATAGAATAACTCGAATATATATGCACAATAATAAAATGTGATAAATTAACGAGGTATGATATATTATCAGTGTATGATATTTATATTTATTATTATTTAATTATAAATAAAAATTAATTTATTGATATTATATAAAATTTATACATTAATAATATATCAAATATAACCGTTTTCAAAGATAACTCATAATGGAATCTCCTTTTTTTTTTGCTATTTTTGTATATAATTATATAACTTGAATTTAATATGGTTTTAGGTAAGAGAGGCTAAGGGCCGGAAACCAAGACTCAAACTAGAAATTTTAAGGCCCAAAGTTTGGTCGTGAAGTTCAAGCCACGAAACAAGTACAAGGTAGAACTTATCCCAAGCCAGGGCAGTCAGCTTTACAAAGTCCAAAGTGAAAAAGCACGCAAGCAAAGCCAATAAAATTCCCATCCACAAACTAAAGAAAGCTCAACCCCATCATCCACACCTATGGCTACTTCACTCTCTCTCTCAAACTTCCTCTCCTTCCTCTTACCTTCCAATCCTCCTCCACCATCACCCAAAGCAGCTCCTCTCAACAACCTTTCCCTTTCTTCCCAGAAACCCAAAAACACTCTCCTTTCGGTTTCAGCCCAAGAGGATCTGTCTTCTTCGTTATCCACTGAATTGTCGTCTGTTATATGCCCTTCTCTTGCGTATGCAAATACCCTTTTCTTTAAATCTGCTTACAATGTTCAGGTTATCGTGGATGACAATGAACCCGAAGAAAGGCTGCTTAACAGGTTCAGAAGAGAGGTCATGAGAGCTGGTGTTATTCAAGAGTGTAAAAGGAGGAGGTTCTTTGAGAATAAGCAAGATGAGAAGAAGCGTAAGTCACGTGAGGCTGCTAAGCGTAATCGTAGAAGGTAATGCTTTGGTCCCCCTTCTTTTTTTTTTTGCTCTTTTTTTTGTAGGCTGTGTAAAATGGAGATAATGAAGAAGAAAAAAAAA